TAGGGTTTCAACGAGCAAAATCCTCATTGGGAAACGGATTGGATGGCGAATCGTGAGAAAGCTTATGAAAAATGTGCCGAACAAAGAAGACGTTTAAGAGACGAAGAACTTTTGGTGAGAAAGATTTTTTTTTTTCCCAATGAAATTTTCTCGCGTTATAAATAATTTAGTTTTATTATTATTATTATTATTTATTTTTTTAACTCAGCAAAAACAAAAGCAAGAAAGAATCGAGTTGATGAAAAAACAAGAGGAAGAATTGAAACAAAAATTTTATTCCTCGTTAATGAAATCGGAATCGGGAGAAAACGAATTGATCATGCCGCTCACGCTCCCGAGAACGTACGAAGGATCATCGACCATTCCGTTAAAAGAAAATTTCGAAGGGAAAAAAGAAAAGGATAAAAAGAAGAAAGCGAAAAAGGAAAAAAGAAAGAAGGAAAAACGCATGAAAGAAAAGAAGAAAAAGTCAAAGGAGAAAAAATCTAGAAAATCAAGTTCTTCCGACACGGGTTCAAGTTCGGAGAGTACGACGGAAAGTTCCGATTCCGAAGAAGAGAAGAAGGTCAAAAAAGAAATTTTAGCGGATTTGGAGGGTAGATCGAAAAGCTTGAGAGTGGCTTTGAGGGGTAAGGATAAAACGGAAAATGAAAAGTCGATGCCTATTCCGATAACTTTACCGGAAAAATCCAAATGGGAAGTCGAGGATAACGACGAGAATAAACATGTGCCTACCGCTGATTGTAAAGAAGTTCCCGTTCCTAAAGAGCAATCCTCCCGCGTCGCGGAGTCGTCGGATGACAAAATTTTAAAAGAATGGATGAAGACTGATGCGTCGGAACCTGATAAAGATTCAAGTAAGAGTGTGAAGGAAAAAGTCAAATCGAAGGACAGGCAAAAAGATTACGGTAGAAATGATGACGAAAGGAGTTCGCGGTACGATAAGAAGAGGAGTTACCGCGATAAAAGGCAAGAGAGCGGAAGTTCGAGGAGAGAGAGGAGATCATCCTGGGATAGGAAAAAAGAGCATCGTTCCTCCAGACACTCTCGACGATCGAGAACCCGAAGTCGCACTAGGTCTAATTCACGGGATAGAGATCGGGAAAAGGTCACTCCCGGTGTCATACCCGCGCCTTTATACGATTTATTTAAACTCCCTGAAAAACACGTGGTTTTGCTCCCGGAAACTAGCAGAGCTGACAAACTTGATGACCACATTCACGAAAACGACGACGGAGAGTCTAAATTTGAAAAGCAAGCCGTCGAAGCGGCGAAAAAGAAAAAGGTACAACCCGTTATTAGTTTACCAAAATCTAAATTTGGATTCATCGGACGCATGCCGTTCGCTAAAAAGAGACCCGACTCGGAAAAGGGTAAGAAAGATGACGATTCGCCCAAATTAGAAGACTGTTCCGAAATGGAGGCTCCACCTCCTCCGAGAATCACTCAACCTCGACCCCTGTCACCCAAAGCTCCGAAACCAGTATTAACGACCAAAACTAAAGTCGAAACGGCTAAAGAAATCGTTTCCAAATACCAAAAAGCTTTCCAGGAAAAGGTAGAGGAAGCTCAAACGATCGATCCCGTGATGATGGCCGTAGAAATGGTGAATCCTCCCCTACCTCCATCACCCCCCGCTCTAACCATGATGCCTCCTTCTCCTCCTAAAATCAGAGAAAGTCCCAAGAGTCCTAAGAAAAGTAAAAAATCTCCCTATCCGTTGCCGAAAGATTTTCAAGATGCGTTGAGTATCATTTATCCAGAAGAAAAGCCGGAGGACAAAATGGACAGCACTTATCACACTCCGGAAATGATGGCTGCCATGTCGTTTCAACCCGCACCCATGGGATACGGAGGTCAAATGATGATGGCTTATCCGGGAATGCACATGATGGCTCCGATGCCGCAAATCCCTCCTCCTCCGCCGCACATGATGAACGCGAACACGATGAGAATGTTCAATCAAACGGCTCCTCCTCCGCCCACAACCGAACCCACGAGAGACACGCCCTCTCCCGCCCTTCCTCCTCCTCCAGAAAATCTTTTCGAAAGCAGTTTCGGTTTGGGGTCGTCAAACGGCGGAGGGATACCCGGTTTGGACGAAGAAAAAATGGAAACGTCATCTAAAATGTCCGACGACGACATGGCTTTGCTCGGAATCGACGCGGAAGACATGGCCGCTCAACAACTTTAAGTTATATATAATAATAAAATAGTTGGAAAGAGAATGTGAGAGAGAGAGAGAGAGAAAGAAAGATAGATAGAAAAAGATAGAGAAAGAGAGAGAGAGAAAACTGTTCTTTTGATTATTATATATTTAATAATAAAATTTAATTTTAAGTTTTTGACCTAATATTAAATCGTTTTATTTTATTTAACTTTTAAAGAGATTTTTTTTTTTAAAGGGTTTTATCTATCTGTAATTATTTTGAAAATATTTTCATTTTTTTTTTTTTTTTTTTTTTATTAATAATAAAATAAATTTTACAAGGAATTTAAAACGAAAATAATGATGATGATAATAATAATAATAATAAACAAAAACGATTTGTATTTAAATGTAATGATGACAAGGTAGAAGAAAAAAAAAAAATATGGAGGCAAAACAAAATTCAAAACTGGTTTTTTTTTTTAAAAAGATTTATATAGTCATGGAATTCTCTAGAAAAAAAAAAAAAACGTCAATTCATTAAAATACGTCATCATTCAAAAGAAAAAAGATAGAGAGAGAGAGAGAGAAAGAAAAAGGCTCTGACGTGATTTATATATAATTTTTTTTTTTCTTATCATTATTGATTTCAACGTATAATTGGTTACATATATTGAAAAATGATAATAATAATAATGATAATAATGATAGGAAGGGATTTAATTGAAAGTTTAATAATAATAATAATAATAATGAGGGTTTATGTAAAAACCATGTCAAGGACTCATTAATAATTGTTCAATACGAACGAAATAATTGAATGATGATAATGATGATGATGATAGATAGTTAATGGGCGAGGTTTACCATTATTTTGAATTTGAAAAAAAAGAACAACTGACAAGTTAAGAGCATTTATTAAAAACATTATTATTATTATTATTATTATTAAAATTGTCATTTTGTTAAAAGACGTTCTCGTTATTTCCGTATTTAAACCGGAAAATTTAATTTTTTTTTGACGTGATTAGGTTATGTTACAAAAAGGGAAATCATTAGAAAAAAAAGAAGATTTTATTTCAATCGTAAAATATTAACAATGTAATAATAATAATAATAATAATAATTGAAAGAACGTAGTAGTCGTTATTTCTCTTTTTAAAAACAACGAAAGAAAAAAAAAAATATTATTTTCATTAAATTGAGTCATGTTGTTTAATATTTATTAATCATTGTCATTATTTACGCATTCGCGTTGTTGTTGTTGTGCGCGTAAGAAAAAAAAAAAACCCGGAATTAAGTTTTTATTATTTATGACATAATAAATAAATAACGTGAATAATAATAATAATAATAATAATAATTACTGGTTTCGATACCTTTTATCATTATTATTATTATTATTATCGATTCAGGCGATATATCGAAAACGAAAAAATAAAATAATAAATTTAACCGCGTGAATATAACGAAAAAAAATGTCGAGATCAGAGTACGTTCATTCATCGACGTAAGCGACAAAACAAAAAATTTTACGTTGGGGTTTTGGTCATAGAGTAAAAAAACAAAAGTAAACAAATGAAGTTTATATGCAAAACGAAAAATTATTCTTTATTTGATGAATAAATTAAATAACAAAATAATAAAAAAATTTTATTCGACAAAAAAAAATTTTTTTAAATAATAATAATAATAATTATTATTTTTTAAACAATTCATCTATAAAAATAATTTTGGAATATTAATAAAAATAAAATTTTGATTATTTTTTTTCTTTTCATAACATATAACAAACATTTAACATTAACTATAAATATTTTGTATCAATAATTTATTTATTTATTTATTTATTTAATCGTTTCGAATATAAAAATAATTAAATAATAAAAAACTCGATTAAAACGAACGATTATTACTAATAATAAATCAAAAGTAAAAAAAAAAATGCATAATCATTTTAATTATTAGCATAGAGAAAATAAACAATCATGACGGTCGGATAATAATAATTACTTAGTATATATATATTGACCTTCGTTTTTTTTTTTATTCTTCTTTTAATTCGTAGAAGATTAACAAACAAACGAAATCAATAATAATTAAACACATAATATTTTAATTGATCGATTACGATTACGATTACGATGATGATAATGATGATAATGATGATGATAATAATAATAATTAAAATAATTTTTTTATCATGAGTTTAAATGAAACGTGTGGCGGTGCAACGATGAATAATGGAGCATCTTTCGATGGATATTCATCGTAAATGATTTCTTTTAACGTTTCAAAACCGTATTTTATGAAAAGCTTTTGTGAAAATAATGCTGTCGCATCCGTTCGTAGAAGCTGTGGAAAAACAAAACAAAAAAAAAAAAAAAATTATTTCCGATCGAAGGATTTAATCAATTGTAATAAAACGACTACGACGACGACATTTATCGCGTATTCGAAATCGTTTTTTTTTATTTGTTCTCTCTCTCTTTCTCTCTCTCTCTCTCTCTCTCTCTCTCTCTCTCTCTCTCTCTCTTCCTAAAAGAAAAAAAATTAGGTTTCAGGAAGTTAAATTTTAAAAATTTAAATTTAAACTTAAAAGAGAACAGAGAGAGAGAAAAAAAAAACTCTCTGTCATTGTTCAAGGTTGTATAAGTTTCAATGTGAAAAATAATGCTTTGTAAAATAATAATAATGATAATGATAATAATGATAATTGCCAATGATGCGAAACTTTATATACTAAATTTAGATTTTGATTTGATATTGAAAATAAATTTAGGGATTAGGGTTATGGTTTTACAACTCCCCCCTCCCCTAATTTATTATTTGGAATTAAATTAGGAGTAATGATAGGTGCTATTGCTACAGGTACTACCACTACCACTACTACTACTACTACTACCGTACCTGAAATCCTTTATTCCTTGCCAATTGTTCGGTTAATTCGTAAAGTTTACCAGCAATTCCTCTTCCTCTATATTTAAAATCAACACTTAATATTTTCAATTCTAATATTGAGCTAACGTTATAATGTGATAATTCGTCAACGTCTTTATCGACGCTTGCCAAAAAATCAAATATTTTTTGTAATTTTTGCTCTTTGATCGATGAACCATCGCAATCTTTGTCTTCTGTTTCCACACCGTTTAACATAACACCAGCAACCTTCCATCATGAAAAGAGACAAAAAAAAATTATCTTATTACTACTTACTCTCTCTCTCTCTCTCTCTTTGTTTTAAAAAAAAAAAAAAAAAACTTGGCAAACGATTCATTATTATTATTATTATTATTATTATTAGCATAAAATATCGACAAAAAATAAAGAAAAGCTTTGTGTGCAGATACAAAAAAAAAAAAAAACTTGCCATATTATTATTATTATTATCATCACTTATTTATTTATTTATTTGTCAATAATACGCTAAATCCCTACATACTAAAAACGTTAAATTTAAATTTATTGTTTTTCTCTTTTTTAAATTTTATTCGACTGCACATTATTGCACGCATATATAAAAAAAAAAGCAATGATGATGATAATAATAATAATAATAATAATAATAATAAATAAAATTTTGGATTCGATATTTGGATAGAAAAAACTAAAAATGTCCAAGAAATAATTTTTGGTCTGTAAAAAAAAAAAAAAAAAAAACAAAGACGTGATTTGTTTTCATTTTATAAATGATGACGTCGAATACGACAATGATGATGATAATAATAATAATAATTTAAATAAAAAATGGCGGATGGTTTTTAAATATTTAAATTACGTTTTATTAAATAACTAAATTACGTAATTAACACCTTGAAAAATTATTTATATTAAATAACCGAAAAAAAAAATAATAATTTCAATTTATTTACGTAGTATCATTATCATCATCATCGTCATCGTCATCAAAATAATAATAATAATAATTTAAAACATTTTACAGGTGTTCCAGGATTTCGTGCTACTACCATCATCATCATCATCACGATTAACAGGTAAGAAAATTATTAAATCTTGGGGAAGGGGAGGGACAGGTGGAATTCTGTCAAAAAACAGGTAGGGGAGTGGGGAGGGAGTAAAAACGAATACAACTCTTCAAAAATAACAAAACATACAATTAAAATGAGAAAGAAAAAAAAATTGGCAAAATGTTTTTTTTCTTTTTTTTTTTTTTTTTTTTCGTTTACTTTTACACAATAAGTCATTCAAAGACAATACTTAACAAAATAAAGGTCATAGAATGTGTGTGTGTGTGCGTGTGTATGTGTTAAATGAAAAGCTCTGAGAAAAATCAAGGAGAAATTATTTTTTAAGGTATGACGAATAAATACAAAACTTTTATCAAAAAAAAAATAGACAAAATTTTTCGTCACTACTACTACCACTGCTACCACTACTACTACTACCACTACTACTGCTACCACTACCACTACTACCACTACTCACCTCTCCGGTATTTTTATCAACACCCATAAATGAAATCCCTTGACTTAATATTCTGAGGCTGAAATCTTCGAGTTCCTCATGCGGTTGCCCTGGTTTGCATAGAAATAAAGACCTGACGAAAAAAAATAATAATAATAATAATAATTAATATATATTATTTATAATAAATAATAATAATAATGATAATAAAAATGTCTACCCACTTGTTTAATGGTTCGTCGGAAAAAAAATTATATCTTAAATGTTTAATTACGTGATTAAACATTTCCGGACAAATCAAACTGTATACAATATCGTTCATATTTTTTTTCTCTATCGTATACATATTTATATATATTTATTAATTAATTAATAAATAAATAAATTTATTTCTTTTTAAAAAAATAAAATAAAATCCAAATTAATAATTAATTATCTGAAAATAAAAAGAAATAAAAAAATTATTTAATTTTTTCTCGTGTGTTTGTGTACAAACATGAAAAATATTCACTTCCGGTTTGTTTTTTTTTCTTATTTAAATAAATTTTTAAACAATTTATTTATTAATAAATAAATAAAAAATTGATTTCATTAAGTATTAAAAAAAAATAACAACAATAACAACAACATCAAGTCTTTACGAAAATTTTTTAAAATTTTTTTTTCTTTTTCGATTTAAATTTAAAAATAATAATAATAATAATAATAATTTAAATTAATAATAATAATAATAATAATAATTTTTGTTATCAATCGTCATACTTACCGCGATTCCGTTTTATCAATAAATTGAAAAAAAAAAAAAACAAAAAACAAAAACAAACGTCAAGGAACTTTTCTTATCAATACCGATAACGACGAGTAGGAAAAAACTTAACGATAAAAAAAATTTATTATTATTATTATTATTTTAAATATTTAATAACATTTCTATAAGTGTAAAATTTAATAATAATAAAAAAAAAAACTTACCCAATGATAATAATAATAAATTAATACAAAAGGTTAAATATATTTTTCTAGTTCGTTCGCTTACACTTTTTATTTCAAATAAATGATTATAGAAAAAAAAAAAAAAAACACTATAAAAAGATTTTTATTACAATAATAATAATAATGTTTAACGAGTAAGTGTGAGAGAGATAGATAGATTGTGTTAACAACACGTTGAAAAAAGAACACTAAATAAAGAATGATCGGAGGTTATGCGGTAGGAAACCGGAATACGTTTAAGCAGCACAATGCTCCGAATAAATAGTTTTTATTATTATTATTATTATTATTATTATTATTATTCGTGTATAGGAGCAACAAGTGGGGCGTGATTGTTTTTTTTTTTTTTTATTAATTGTTTTTAATACTTATTTTATTTATTTATTATACTCCCTTTCTCCCCACCATTTATTTTCTCTCTCTCTCTCACTCATTAGTCGGCGCGACATGACAAGTGTGGAAAGAAAGAAAATGTTCGCACACGCACACGCACACACCTCACACCTCACACAACAAAGACACAAAAAAAACACGTGGGATTAAATTATTATTTAAATTGATTTTTTTTTTTCGGATAATCGATAAAAAAAATAAATAAATAAATAAAAAACATTTTTTTTTCTTTTTTTCTTTTTTCTTGGCAGAATCTGTAAATTTTTTTTTTTTTTTCATTCGTTTATTATCATTATGGTTATAATTTTTTTTTTAAGGAAGTGAAAAGTAACCGCCCATTGTAAATGGTCTGCTTTTACTCTTACTGGAAAAACTCCACCTATCACCTGTAATAATTACCTGGAAAAGGATATCAACTGTTTTGACCTATAATAATAATAATAGTAATAAATTGGAATTTCATTTTTTAAGTGACACATACAGACGTATTTTTCTTATGGGGAATGAGGGGGAAGAAGGGGAGGAACGGGATAGGAGGAAGGAAGGAGGAGTTTTTGGAAAACGTTATGAATTTTTAAAAAATTGCAAATTTTTCGACTGTGTTTAAACAATTTTTTTGTTTTTTACATCGAATAAATAAATAAATTAAATGTGTGTGTGTGTGTGTGTGTGTGCGTGTGCGTGTTTTGTTGTTAATAATAATAACAAATGAAATTTAAATCGTAAAGGCGTTCGTTAAAAAAAAAAAGGCAAACCATTAATAATACTGACGACGACGACGTGAAACAAGTTATAATTTAAAAACAAAATGGCGGAAAATTTTTTCTTTTAAACTTAAAGGATTGTTTAAGAATTATATATATAGTCGGGTCAACAAACAAACAAACAAACAAACAAATCATTTCGACTGCTACTACCAGGTACTTCTTGCGAAAAAAATTTTTTTTTCTTTAATTATCGTCATAGGGAATACCTTAGCGTAAATGTTGTTTGTTGTTGTTTGTATACAACCACGTCGTCGTCGTCGATCGTTTTATGAAAAAGTTTTTTTTTTTTTTATTCTGATATTATAAATTTTGTTTTTTCCCATCCGGTTTTTTCTCTTAAAAATTCCAGGTACGATGACTCGAAGGCACAAAAAAAAAAGATTTCACTCGTATAAATTCGCAATTATTAAAGGTTGTTGTTGTTGTTGTTGCTTTTTTTTTTGTACTCGACGTTGCGAATCGAACAACCGATCGAAAATCGATCTTAAGATATCATTATTATTAAATTCGAGAAAAAAATTTTCTTGGCATCATTTTAATAATAATAATAATTAATTTAAGGCACACAAACGTCTAAAATTTAAAAAAAAATTTTTTTTAATGACGTTTTTATTATTATTATTATTTCGAGCCTTTGTTTTAAAATTTTTTTTTTAATTTATATAATAATGATTGAAAAATGAATTTTTAATAATAATAATAATAATAATAAATTTACGTAATTCGATTCGACGGTTTTTTCGGGGGGATTTTTTCTACGAAAAAAAAAAAAAAATTTATCGACCTTGATAAGTTAAACATTAGAAATTTTTTATTATCCGATAAATTATTTATTATTATTACACCTATTTTATTCATTTTTTTTTTCTAACAGGTACTGCAATCGAAGGTTATCAGGTACTGATAAAAAAAATAGTAATAATAATAATAATAATAATAATAATAATAATAATAATAATAATAAACAAGCTTTTACCACGCTTTTAACTTTTTATTTATATTTAATACTTGTTTGTTTTTTTAAACGGCAGCCATTTTTTTTTTTTTTTTTATTAAAATCCCCGCCCCCCCTCGAAACGTTTTTTAATAACTTTCTTTAATATACATAAACTATTTTTTTTAATAAATTAATAAATAAATTAATAAATTTCATTGCCGAATTTTAAAAAAAAAAAAAGAAAAAAAAAATTTATTGTTTAATAAATCAACTTTTTTTTTTTTTTTTTTTTTTTAGGTGTTGGTACCATTTTACCGGTTTAATTTTTAAACAAATTAGTTAATTTCTTTCTTTTCGTGGGGAGAGGTGGTGTGAGAGGGGATAGAGGGTGGTAACGGAAGAATTAATTTTGATAATAAGTCATAAAAGGAAGGACAAATAATAATGATATTATTAAAAAAAAAAAAAAAAAAACAAAAAATTTTTTGTGATGATTAAACTATTATTATTATTATTATTATCAGGGTTTAAAAAAATAACCCTGATTAAAAATCGTTCCGGGTATTTAATAAATATGGTTGTTAGTAAAAAAATTGATTGATTAATATTTAATTGTTATCAAATATTATAACCTTTTCTACTTTCAAAGTAAAATATTATAGGTACAGGTTTCTTGATTTTTTTTTTTTTTAACGTCTGTAATAAAACATTTTTTTTGTTGTTGTTGCTACCTTCTAAGGTATAAAATATTGTTTAACTTTTCGAAGGTTATTAATATAAGTAATATAAGTAGCGGAAGAAGTAGAAAAAAAAAAAAAATTTTTTTTAACAGGTAGTTTTCTACTTTCACTGACCTCTTACGCCATTTTTTATCGTTATTGAAATTACCAGGTTTAACGATTAATAAAAAAAGGTATACGCTTAATTTTTTTATTTTTTTCTTACAAAAAAAAAAAAAAATTAACGTACGAAAAAGCAACCAAACATGTCACCTTTTATAAAATTGTGTAAAAAAAACAGAATTTTTTTGCAACAAACAATTGACGTAAAATTATTTAAAATATACGACATTAAATCAAGTTTTTCTTTTTATTATTATTATCATTATTATTTTAAAAACAAATAATTTTTCATTTGCATAAATTAAAAAAAAAAAAATAATTTAAATAAAATTTAATAATAATCGATGTTTAAACAAAACAAACAAACAACAATACTTATTTACTTATTATTATTATTTGATTTTAAATTTAAAAAAAATTTTTTTTTACTGTCAATTATTATTATTATTATTATTATTATTTTTCTTTTTAATATTCTGTCTGCGTTAACGGTAGTAAAATCAATAGACTGAGAATGTCAACAACAACAACAACAACAGCAAAAAAAATGATTGACACACAAATCCAATTAAAATTTACATACGTCAACTTTCAAAGTTTCCGGATATTCTAATAATAATAATAATAGTCTGTCGTGAATATGGAATGGATGGATTACACAAGGAGTGGTACGACTACATTTCAAGCTCGGTTACGACAGCAGGTATGATCAACAAATTCATACTGACAGAACTGTGACAGACAACAAACCGGATATCATCCTCAGGCATAATGCTGAAAAATGGTGTAAATTAATTGAGGTATCCGTGCCGGCAGAAAAAAACACCAGACAGCCGAAGAAGCAGACAAAAGGCTGAAGGAACGAGGATGTGGGGAGAAAAGACAGAAACGATTCCGGTCATCGTGGGAGCATCACTGGGAGCCATGCCACCACCACATTCAATGAAAGGAAATTTAAAGAAGATTTTGAAGGACTTAAAAGAAGACAGTTTACAGGTAATCGCAACATATGCACCACATTCTTCGGAAAATTCTATAAATAGCACCAACGAAATTTCAGCATTTATTCCTAAGGAATCGTCGGGTAAAAACCTGGAATAAATGCTCAAAAATCCCGACAAATAAGAGCCTCGTCGTGCTTTAGAATGACCATAATAATAATAATAATCATAATAATAATAAATCATATTATCAATTGCAAATAACCCTGGTAGAGTTCAAAATTCCTCAGACAAGAAAAATTTATATTATTCACAATTAAAATTTTATCATCATCATCATGTAGACTACAACTACAACTACTACTATTACTATTATTATTATTAATAAGACAATATAAAGAATGAATGAATTTATATCATTAAACGATCGTTAATAAATGAGATTATACGTGTATTGTGATACACGTGTAACGCACACGCATAAAAACCTTCGTAATGTCAAAAAAAAAATAATGACGACACATTCCTATATATAAAATAATAATATATAATATAAATAAATTATAATAACATCTCACGTGACTATTCAGGGTCATAAGGGTTCATTATACGTTAAAAAAAAAAAAAGAGAAAGAAGGAGGAAAAAGAAAAAGAAATTCCTAAAGCTAACATAAATTTTTTTTTTTTAAGGAAAAAGAAATCAGAAAGTTTTTTTTTTTTACAATAAATTCTACGATAACTTTCCTTCATGTTCTTTTTCTTTCTACGTCCGTTAAAAAAAAAAATCCGTTAAAAAAAATCCGTTAAAAAAAAATCCGTTAAAAAAAATTCGAAGGTTTTATTTAAATTTTATACACACAAAATTTTCTTTTTTTTTTTTTAATGCATGTTTTTACGCATAATAATAATAATAAATTTAAATTTAAATTAAATAAAATCGTTTGATAATAATAATAATAATAATAATGTTTTTTTTAATAAGGTAGTAATAATAATAATAATAATAATATGCGTTAAAAACGATCGATTAAGAAATTTTTTTTTTATTATTATTATTAAAAGTATGACGTATTTATTTATTTATTTTTATTTCATTGTGTTAATTTATTAACTTGTATTTTGTTGTTTTTAATTTAAATATTTAAAAATTTATTAAAATAAATAAATAAATAAACATTTTTTTTTTTTAAAAATGTCAAAGTTTTTGGTATTTACAAAAAAAAAAAAAGTTAAAAGTTAAAAAATTTATTTAAAATATCAATAATAATAATAATAATAATAATAATAATAATAATAATAATAATAATAATAATAATAATATTTATTTTTTATTATTCGAATATGTAATTTTAATGTTATGTAATAATAATAATAATAGTTAATTAATTTAATTATTATTATTATTTTTTCTCAAGTAATTAATAGTGGATTAAAAAATAGTAAAAGTTTAAATCCAACTTATTTATTTATTTATTTATTAACTTGATTTATTAAAACGTGAGATAATTTATATAAGCATAATTTAAATACTCATTTTTTCTTCTATTTTAAACAATAATAATAATAATAATAATAACTATTTAATTAACGGTTGCAAAAAAAAAATTTTTATGTATCATTGTGGTGAATATTTAATTCCCTACTTTTATATAGATACGCGGGTATAAAAACGGATTTAATTTTGATAATAAAAAAAAAAATACGTAATAAATAAAATAAATAAATAAATTAAAAAGTTATAAATAAATAAATAAATTAATTAAAAAGTGATAAATAAATTTAAAAAGTCGGAAGACTTTTTAAATTTATTTATCACTTTTAATTAATTCCTTTAAGAGACAAACAAACAAACAGACAACAAACAAAACGAAATTTCAACTTAATTTAATTACAAAACTTTTTAATTAATTAATAAATAATAAATATAGATCGTTTTAAATATATTTATAAATATTATCATTATTATTTTAATAATATTAATAAATACATATCATTATCATTATTATATATATATAACATTTTTCGTTTGAGTTTATATGAAGAAATATAAATGTGGAAAAATACAATGATAATAAATTATTATTAAGAAAAATTTTATTTATATATATATTTATATTATTTTCGTAGGTTCATGGTGCGTGCGTGTGCGTGTGTGCGTGTGTGTGTTTCTCTCTTTTCATGTTGACCACCTTGCCATTGCCATTGTGTTTGTAGTAGGGAGATTTATTTGAGCGGAAGCAAGGAAATCAAAGGCATATACAAACACAAACACAAACGTACTAGAGTGTCGTCCTTCGGGCTAATTGCGAAGGTTATCTGGAATATGACTGGAAGCATTTTGGAATCCGGTTGGTTTCAAACACACAACCGAAAAAAATCGGGAGAGGAGGGAAATGAGAGGTGAGGAGGGAAATGAGAAGAGAGGAGGGAAAAAAGAGGATAGGAGGGAAATGAGAAGAGAGGAGGGAAATGAGAGGA